GGGGAGACGTATTTCCGATAGTACTTCATTTTGATAGATACTCTTCAGTTAGCGGATCATGTTGATAGACAGCCTAGCGATCGCTCGGCTCCCTACCACGTTTACTCCGTCGGGGCTTCTTGTGATCTGCTGCTCCAAGTCCCAGGGCTTAGATTACCGGTTCCAATAATCAAACAGAAGGTCCCTGTGACTATAAAGTTCACCTTTTCTGTGTATTGTTCGTCACAGAACCTGTGTGTAATAAAGTAATTTCTTCTGCACAATGACCTCTGATTCATCTTTATCGACAGATCATACCAGATAATATTCCTTCCTTCCGTGAATGAATGCTCCCTCATTCAGCAAATATGATAAACGAATCAGTCAACTCCATCTTAGTCTGTCGATGCTTTGTTTCGCTGGAGTCCACCTCAACACTTTTCTCGAACCTTGCAACGGACCCCGTGTGGCTTTCTGCTCTGAGCCCCTGGAATTAAATTGCCAGTTCCCGAAACCTAACAATAGGTCTCATTATTCTCACTGGTGCGAAAAAGTGAAATTATTTGAAAAATGGATTTATTCTCACACATGGATAGTGAATTTGATATGATGCGCTACAGTAACCAGTCTGGTGTTCCGCCACACATGGAGTACGCCGTTCAAGTGTGGAATCCATGGTTGAACCGCGACAATAAGGCTCTAGAACGTCCGCAAAGGCTGGTAACAAAAGTGATAAAAGGTCCGTATAACAAGACATACTCCGAAAGACTGCAACTATGGGGACTCTAATCATCTTAATACCGCCGACTTCGGGAGGACCTAATCTTGACATATCACATACTGCATCAACCCAACCATCCTTGCCGTTCTATGCTGACTCTATCACTAAGTGATCACCTGAAGATCCAGAACAACCACCTCGACATCACTCGTTTGCAGTCAGAATGTGCGGCGTGTAGAATTCTCTTCCAGCCCATGTAGTTTGCGCTCCTACAGTTGAACTATTTAAATAGCATCCTGGTAAAGCATTGGGACACTTAAAATTACGACATCCGTGAGTGATCATACATGTTATTATTATTATTATTTTCTCTTTATAAAGTTATTCAAAAGATTCTGTAAAAACCTATGGGGTATGGTGAACTTTAGCTTTGTTAAATCGCCCATAATAAAACTTCGACTTTGACAGCGACTAAACCACCGTGCCACCACCACCCATGTTTGCGTCTAGCATGTTTCAGGTAGATACAGTGTGAATCGGTGTTACGTGTTTGGGTCAGTTTTACGGAAATAAAAGAGAAGGCTTCTCAAGTGGATGCATGGTGGGTGGATTTTGAGTCGAGTTTTTAACCTTTTCAAAAGATTTGTTTAGTGTTTGTCTATTCGGGACTTTGACCCCGTGCAAATGGCGTATGATCCGATGAACTGGACACTGGCCCTCAGTGGATTGCGGTTTTCATACCCGTCCCGCTGCCCTGTGGGTCAGGCTTTGATTAGCCGAAGGCTTCGGTTGTGAATTCCTCTAGAAAATTCACTGCCTTGGCCTGGGCAACCTGGCAGTATTAGGCCCACATGCAAATCTGGGACCGTTTTTCTTTTTTTTATAAGATTACTGTACCATGGTTTGTTTGGCACACAGTTTGGCGTCAGACGTGTGGGAAATGTAAATAAATATATGTATGTCATATATATGTATGTCTTCGGGACTTTTATGGAATCGTTAAGATGTCGTGTATCATCGAGGAGCCACGTGCAAGGTAGTGTCAGCTTAGCCACATTTACTGTAGGGTTGTTCGGTGTAGATAATCAATGAAAGCTGTTCCTTTTGGAACATTCGTATCCATGGTGTGGCATTTGGGCAATCACTGCTAAGATTAAACAAAAGACAACATTAATCGTACACATACTCAGGCTTTTGTTCGCCACGAATTGCAGTGACCGTGTTCCCTGTCTGCTTATCGAATTCCGGGCTCTGAAATCTTCGCCAAAATAGACAGGAGGTGGAAGAAAATTAAATGCGTTTTGAATTTTCTATTGAAGACAGTGATTAAACACACTGGGAAAATTCGAACTTTCTGACACTTTTTCCACGGAACTTGACGATAATGGAATTTTCAGTCATCTTACAATTTAACTCTGCCATTTGATCTCGTGCTTGCGCTCGTACGCTTCCCCCCAAGCCAGTAGACGATTCTTTCTCCAGTTATCTCTACTAAATTGTATTGTATTGTACTTTGTATAAACTTTTGAATTTATCGTTGGGCGTTTTTCATGTTTAACCCTCATTCAGTGGCGCAAATAGAATGATGTCTTTACTTTTTTCCGGAGACTGCTTTTGATTGCTGTTCAGTTACATATGAAGACTTCGCTTGTTTTCTCGGTGTTAGTTCCATTTAGTGGCTTTTGATTATTGTGCTCAAGTGATCTTTAGCTTCTTGCAGTTGAAGTTCGTCCAGCCTCTTTGAAAGCATGCTCCAGTTATTGTCATGTAGAGCATAGTAAATCACAGAGTCACTTTGTGCATCACAGCGCGTCAAGTTGCCGTATCACGGTGCAAATGGTATTAATTGGTAAAGTTGATCGCTTTTCAAGGTTGACGCGTTAATCTATGCATCAAAATGACCCATGTTTTACCCCTACTGGCCCCATATGAAGAGAAGACCATGCTGAAACTGAAAACTGAAGACCATGCTTATTAATTAAATCTACAACACATAATTCTCTTTTTAATATATCACCATGACCAAACTTTAATTATGGTCTAACTACGCTTTCACTGGGACGGCCGTTACTGAATACTGAATTTTCTAAACTCGTGCTTTTAATTGCAGTTATTTTGTGAGAGGTCTTTTGGGATACTGTTGTGGAATGAAAATCTTTTAGATCTTATATTCATGCGCACTCTTCGGGTTTTGCAGTCAAAAACTTCCGGAAGCGCTGGATTTGACTGTTTGACTGCAACAAAGTACTCAAACTATTGCCTGAATATATATTTGACTACCTCTGAACAAACAATCGATCCAGAGTTTAAGTCACCAACGGGTCGTTAGATATGCGCTACTGCTAAGCTCATATGGGAGTGGGGACTCGAATCTAGTGTTTCCTGAGTGAATGGTTGAGTAGCTGAGCCAAGGATTCCACGTGAAGATGGAACCTGAAGGGCGTTTACTCAAAATTAATACCTTAAACCGTAACGCTTCCTGAGTCAAAAACTAAACCAACGACTGCTCTCTGCAAGGAACACCAAAGTACAAATACTACCGTTTTTTCTAATTCTCAGGGAAAAACATTACAAATCGTTTTCTTAAATTTCAAAACAAACATGTAATATTTAGTTTCCAGAGTGTTTTCTCAAACTGTGGTTTTAATGGTCGTCCGATTTTGTTACAACTATGTTCCCCTAAGACAAATATTGAATCACTCTTGGTATTCTCCATTGCACTGTGATCCCTGGAAAAAGGGAATAATCGAATATGGTGTCTTCAAGGTGCAAATAAGCATATGTACTCCAAAGAACCCAAAGGGGTGAGTCTTCCGATCTTGCCGTGCGTTTCCCCGTCTGATTAGTCGTGAATGGTTGGTCATCAATAATAAGAGTCAGTCCTTCAAAAAGTTGATGATCGTGTATATATATCACGAGTGAGAATGCTGCTCATCTATAAACTATCAGGTCATAGGATGTTCCATATGTTTTTTGCAATAGAAGTTAAAGCATA